AAAAAAAAAAAAAAAAAAAAAAAAAAAAAGGGAGCAGACTCCATCTATTAAAGATGGAATGAAGTTTGTAATCAGGGACCTTAAAAGAAGTTTTTAATATAGCATGTACACAATATAACATATACACTTTGTATAATTCTAAGCACATAAATTTATACATTTAATTCTCAAAACCACCCTATGTACTAATAATAATATTCCCATTTTACAGGTGAAAAAACTGAGGCACTGAAAGATTGAGTTTTCACAGGTAGGAAGTAGCAGAGTTAGGACTTGAATGAGGCAGTTTTGATGCTAGAATCCATGTCCTTAACCACAATGCCTGAAGCATAATTCTGACCTTGGCAATCAAGACAAAAGGTGATCACCCAGGTTTCACTGTATGAAGAATGAGTTGTCTTGTGGAGACAGTTTTTGACCCTAAATTCAGGGAGAAGGCTGTTAGGCGTGTGGGGGATGGGAGTTCTTTGTTCTGTGATGCAGTGATGACATCGAGATAAACTGCCACTAGGCCAAGAAAAATGGACTGGCTGCTAGAGGGTCTGCTTGGGACTGAAGGGGACAAGGGGCTTCTCTGGGGCCAGCTGACCCATGCCCTCGCCTGCAGACACTGTGGCAGCAGCTGCCTCCAGAGCACAGGGAATATAATGATACTATTCCTATTCATGGTTTGGCAGATCCGGAGGTGGAGGCAGCTTGGGAGCTGGCGACATCTTCAGCCCTGGTACTCTGGGGACATGATGCAAGTCAAGGTGAGTGACATAAATGTGCAGAGGGCTAAATGACTGACACCACATCTGAATTTTGGTGAGAAATCATTGACATGGATGTGAGCCCAAGTGAGCGACTATAAGACTTAAATGTGAGACTGGGTGACTGACCACTGACACTAGATTTGAAGACAGATGAGTGACCACTTACCCTAGATGTAGGATTATGTAAGGAATACTGATCTCCACATGTGAACCAGGTAATGGCCATTAACATTGGATGGGTGAGTATTGATCACAGATGTGGGGCCGGCTGAGTAACTGTTCACTCTGTACATGGAACAGAGACTGAGAGCTTCATGACACACCTTGTGTCTCTGAAAAGGCTGATACTATCTTTCTCCATTGCCCAGGGCCTACCACTTCTGTACCATGTGGCTTTCCTTGGTCATCTATGGAGGCAGAAGTCAGAGGAGGAAGAAGAAAAGGAAGAAGAGGAAGAGGCGGTGGTATCTCTGGATCCACTGAAGCCATGTTCTCTTCCCAAAGAAGTTCCTATTAGAGAGCAAGCCACCACAGGCCCATCCCAACCATCCTGTGATTCTGAGAACTTCCACAAGGCCATAGGGACCCCAGAGCTAGTACTCATGCAGACCCCAAGCCCTTCCAGGTCATTCCCCACCTTTCAGATTCTGACCAACCTGCCTGTGAGGGACAAGACAGCATCAGAGGGGAGTCTACAGAAGAAAAAAAGCCAGCTCTTCTGGGGACTCCCTTCTCTGCACAGTGAGTCCTTGGAGGCCACCAGCCTGAGCTCAGGTGGTCCCTCTCCCCTGAAGTTACCTGTTGGTCCTTCTGTCTGCTTCAACAAGCTTTCCTTCCTCCATAGGTCCAACCTGCTATTTACCCAGTATTGCTCCCCAACCCAGTTTCCTACACATAAAGTCCATACTACAAAAGATCTGAAAGAGATGGTCCCTGATCCTCAGCATCGTTCCCCTCCGTCTTCCCCTTCTGTCCCATCACTACCCCTCCATCTGAAACCCTTTCCCATAGACCACAAAGGAGTCCATTCTGGTGTTCAGGCACATACACAGTGGCTTCTGTGGCAGAGAGTGGCCTCTCGGGTCTCTGAGGATCAAGACCTGCACCCACAACCTGAGTGTCAAAGAACCAGACCCTCCAAGTTTTTCCCCTCATCTGAGGTCTGGGATCTTGGCCTCCCACAACACATTCCAGATTCTCTCTCTGCTTCTCTGCTGTATCCCTCTAACCTTCTGGGGGTCCTGACTAGGTTTGAGGCCCCATGGAGGACCCTGGTGCAAAATGAGGACCCCAAAGCCTCTGAGCCAGCAATGCTAGTTTCCAGCCCAACCCCAGCCTCTCTACCAGAACTCCAGGGAGTCAGCCCTATAGGAAGCCTGTATGGATCTGAGGACCTCTGGGAAACCACAAAGCAAAGAGAGGATCCTCAGATCTCTGAGACCCCAATCCTGCTCTCTTGCCAATCTGTAGCTCCCATAACAGAGCCTCAAGGAACTAGACCCCTGGGAATTCCACCTGGATGTGAAACTCAGTGGAGAACCACAGGACATAAAGAGAGCCCTCAAGCCTCTAAGCCCCCAGTGCTAACCCCTTACCAACCCCCAGATTCTCTGTCAGAACTCCAGCAAGTCAGCTCTGAAGGAGGGCCTACTACACCTAAGGACTTCTGGGGAACCACGGAGCACAGAGAGAAGCCTCAGGCCTCTGGGTCTTCAATGCCAGCCCCCTGCCCTCCCTCAGCCCCCCTGCAAGAACTCCAGAAAGGCAGTCCCCTGGGAGATTCATCTGCATACAAGCCTCACTGGGAATGCAGAGAAAATTCAGAAAACCCACAGACCTTTGAGCCCCCAGCCTTGGACCCCAACCCAGGGTTCTATGGAACTAGCGCTGCATGTGTTCCATCAGGATCTGAGACTCTATGGAAAGGCATGCAAAAGAGAGAACATCTTTGGGTCTCTGCAGACTCAGTTTCATCTCCCAGTCTTCCCTCAGCCTATCTACTGGAGTCTCTAAGAATAGACCCCCAGGGAGTCCTGTCTAAGTCCAAGCCTTTGTGGGAGACCATGGGGCAGATAGAGAACCTCTGGACCTCTGAGTCTACAGCCCCTTCATGGGGGGACATGAAGAAGAAAGAAATCTGTTGTGCTCCTCCTGTGTTCCCATTCTGGGACTCCAGCTCACATCCAAACTCTATGGCAAAGTCTCACTTAAGTGAACCTATAGGAGACCAAGACAACTGTAAGCCTGAGGGGGAAGCAGTGGAACAAAGAGAGAACAGCTGGGCCACTGAGCAACAAGCCCCACCTCCCAAGACATTGTCTATTCCTCTACCCGATCCACACATTGACCCTGAGTTTGTGTGGAGGAATATGCAGCAAAGAGACATCCCCCAGGGCCCCAGCCCTCCAGCAGTGGATCCCGTGCAGCCAATACCCTGGCATCCAACCATAGCTGAAGCTCTGAATACTGAGCCCAACCAGCCTGACCTACCCAAGCAAGAGCTGTTCCCAGGAGCTAAGGCAGAGATCCCACCCTCCCAGGGAGAGGGTGTCCCAGAGGTGTCCACACACATTGGGATCCAGGCCTGGCACTGGAATAGAGAATTAGAACTCAGGCTGAAGAAACTACAGCTGAGCCCTGCTTCCAGATCCCCTGGCCCAAGTCAATCATTTGGCAGCTTCCCTGGCCTGAGTTCCACAACTACAGGCACTTGGAGACTCTCTTCCTGCCCTTCACAGCAGACTTATCCCCTCAATCTGTGCCCCCACTCTTCAAGCTCTTATCCTCCACAAGTCGAGTGCCCAGTAACTCTGCCTGTCCAGGTCTCCCACTGTTACCACTCCCACTCCCCTTCCCATCCTCAACCACAAGGGTCCGGTAGGGCAGAACAAAGGTTTCAGAGAAAGGAAAGAATGAAGGCAAAGATGGTGGCTCAGGTGGCCCAGGGCTCACCTCAAGGACCATGTGTTCACATGGAGGATGACGAGAACTGCTCAGGCTTGAGAGATCCCTTAATCCCTGAGGTTTCGGTCTCAGGTAACAGACAGGACAAGGCTTCAGTCCTATCTTCAGCCAAAAAGAACCCCAGGAAACCCAAAGTAGACCAGAGAGGAGGGGATGCAAGACTGGGGTCATCCACAGTTACAAGAAAGAGCTACCCAGCCCAGGCCAGAAGACTAGTGGAAGCCCCTGTAAGCCCACTTTTCCAAAGATCTCAGCACAGGAACCAGAGCTCTCTACACACTGCTCTCCCCCAGCAGCTTCACTCCAAGGCTACAGGTCCCCAAGATAAGCGAGAAGCAGGGCTGAGAGCTGGTGATATTTTGATCCCTCGGCACTGTAAGCACTGCCCTTGGGCCCACATGGAGAACTATCTCTCTCCCCCCACACCTAAGGCTCCCCTTACCAGGGGTCTCCAAAGGGTGTTAGCCAAGTTACTGGGCACCCATGGACCACTGCCCACCAAATCGTCAGCATAAGGAAAAAGCTGGTAGTTCTGGCACCTGAGGGCTGGGGAGACAAGCAGAGGAAATCCTAATAAACTAGCTGAATTAGACAAATCCCACTCATGATTTCTTTGGAGTCCGGGGTACTGGGTCTGTTCCCTATTAACTTCTGCAGCAGCTATATTCCTTCACAAGGATTCTGCAGCTTAACTTTCTTTTCAAGCCCTTCACAGATGATCAATCTGGGGGGTCCACACATCCCTACTCTACAGGGTGAGGCTGAAAAGCTAGGGGAGCACAGTCTAGTGCTGCCCTTGAGAAAAACTTCATAGCAAGTGAACAGAAGAAAAATACATCTATTCACATGAGCACAATTGGTCTGGGTCTAAGCAAACCCAGGGTATGCCTGGGTATGATCCCCTTCTTTACACACTTAACCCACAAGTTCTCCACGTGTCTTGCTGACCATTTCTTCTCAGCCCTCTGCTCTTTTTTTTCCCTGGGTCAGCTCAATAACCACTCATTCTCAAGGCTACCAAAGCAAGTGCCTCTCATGTTTAGTGGCCATTTGGGTTTCTTCTAGAATTGCCTGTACATATTCTTTACCCATTTTTCTCCTGCACTATTTGTTGGATATTGTATTAGTTTTCTACTGCTGCCATAACAAATTACCACAAGACGACACAAATTTACTTTGTTAGAAAAACAAAATCAAGAGATTGACAGGGTTGCATTCTTTTCTGTAAGCACAAGGTAGGATTCATTCCTTCTTTCTTGGCTTCTAGAGGGTGCCCACATTCCTTGGCCCTCTTTCTCCATCTTCAAAGCTAGCAAAGGCAAGTTCTCACATCACTCTGCTCTCTATTGCTTCCCTTTTCCACTTTTAAGGACACTTATAAATACAGTGGGCCCACCTGGATAACCCAAAATACTATTCCTATCAAGTCAGTTGGTTAGCAACCTTAATTCCATTTACAGCCTTAAATTCCCTTTTCCACATAAAATCACACACAGGCTCCATGCATTAGGACATGAACATCTTAGGGGAGCCATTATCCTGCCTACCACAGATGTTGACCTATTATGCATGTCGGAGGTATTTTCTCCTGTGGCTTATTTTCTAATTTTGTTTAAGGTGATTTTTACTGTACCAAAGTTTAAAATTTTTATATAATCAAATCTACCAACACTTTCCTTCAGTGGCTTCTAAAACATTCTTTTCTGACACTTTCAATTTTATATATTGTTTAGATTATTAACCTAATTTTTGTGTATGGTAGGTAAAAATCTAACTCTACCATAAAATAGATGTCCAATTTTACCAGTACCATTAAAAAAATATAGAATGTCTTAAACCCATTCCATAATGTGCCATCTTTCAAAACATGGGTAAATTTTTAAGCATCTCTAGGCTTCAGATCCATATATCCAAAAGCCTACTATCATCTCACATTCAACTTGTCCAAAACTTACCCATCATTTCCCCTACAACCTTTACCTCCAACATGCCCATTCCTATTGAAGGGTATCACATCCATCCCAATACCAAAGTCAGAAACCTGCTATCCCTGACTCTTCCCTTCTCACTCCCCAAATTCATCATCAAGCCCTGCAAATTATACCTATGATGTGTATTTCAAATCCATTTCCACCTCTCCATCTATATCCTCACTGTCAGTTCAGTAATCATTTCTCATTCCTTCTAATCCATCCTTCACATGGCTACAATTCTCTGGAGGTCAACTGACCCAAACTCTTCAACAAGTGTCATAAAAGTTTGAGTACCATTGCCCTGGATGGTGTGGCTCAGTTGGTTGAGGTTGTCCTGTGCACTCAAGGGTCGCTGGATCGGTTCCCAGTCAGGGTACATGCCCACGCTGTGGACTCAAGCCCTGATCAGGACCTGTTCAGGACAGTCGATTGATGTTTCTCGCTCTATCTCTCTCCTTTCCTCTCTAAAATTAATAAAAACATATTTTTAAAAAGTTTGAGTACTATAATTAAAAATAAGATTTAAAAAATTACGTAAAAACATGGAGGGAAAAATACTAAGTATTATTTCTGGATAGAAAAAAAAAGTTTGAGTAAAGGAACATGACAGATGCAACCTGTGTTCCTAGACTGGATATTGGTTTGGTCAAAGTGAATGACATATTTAGGTCACTTGGCAAACTGTGAATATGGTATGAGGATTAGATTAAATGAAAATTTACTAAAAGGAAAAGGTGGAGATTAATGTTTAAAAAAGTTATAAAGCAGGAGGATCTCATTTTTATTTAAAGATACCACATGTATAAACACACATATTTACACAACATGCACAGAAAAAAGATTCAAAAATATGAACTAAAGTTAAGATGCTGATCTCTGGTTATTGAGAATATTAATTTTTAAAATTATGCTTGTTTTTCTAAATTTCTACAATGCACATTACTGCTTCTATAAATAAAAGGTTATTTTATTGTCTATGCTGTACACTTGGTAATTGTTAGGTAAATTTTGGCTTTTTCCCACAATTTTTTAAAAAAGTGATCCCTTAGCACTGAAATCTGACTCACTTCCCTACCTAAACCCTCCAGAGGACCCACAATATCTTTAAAGTTCACTTCTGGCATATAAGGTTCTTCACAGTGTGGTTTCCGACCTCATGAAATTCACTCTAGGATTTAACACCTTGCTAGTCAACCTAATGTTTCTTCTGTATTCTCTGCCCTCTGTGCCTTTTGCTCATTGCTCTCCTGTACTTCTCCATGTTAAGTCTCCCATCTGTTTAATGCCCAGCTCAGACTATCTCCACAGCCTTCTCTGTTCACCTATTCTTGCAGCCACATAACAATTGTGCCTGGTTGTATGGCAATCAAGCCTTTCAAAGAAAGTGAGATTCTGAGAGGTCAAGTCCACATTCCCAGTCCAGTGTTCTTTTGATTCTACAATATTCTCTCTACTCTGTATATTTGCTTGAGAAAAACAGCCAGTCAGAAGGTACACGTTGTTTCTCTGCCTCCTCTCACTGTCACTATTCTATTCCAAACCTTTATTTATAGCCCAAACCTGTGGGCCTAAGTCCAAACCTCACCACCTGCTGGCTCAGGGTGGAACTGAAGGTACTTTCCTTCCTAACTATTGCCCCCTCCCCACATACACACCACACCCCAAGTCTTAAAGACAATGCAATTCTGAATTTCTACTTGATACACGGACATTTAATGAGTCTATGCATCTCTGGATAGCTTTATGAAAAATCCAAGTCCTACACTCTTGTCTTTTTAAGGACTCAGTAGGTTGTAGAGCTGGGCAAGAGTAACAAACCATTTAATGTTTGCCACAGTTCATGCGAATTAATAATTGGCAGACCAAATTAATGACAGGCAGACCAGTGTTCCTCATGGGCGCTGTGTGACCATTAGACTCTCAGAGCAACTTGTAAAATCAGTATCTTGGATCCAAATATATCTCAAGATGTTAGACTTATAGTTCCATTTGTGACGTACTGTTGGTCCTCTATGATCTGTATGATGCCATAGTCTTAGTTAAAAACCCATCTTTTACTCACAGCACTTACCCTATGGGAAGAAGTGATCAGCTACAGTTAAGACCCCATTCCAATTTCTTTCTGGGAATGCTGTAGGGGAAAAGACAGACTGCTGATACAACTTGCTTCTTGGTTTAAGTATGCAGGCTTTTGCAGACAGTCCCTCACTGCTTCCTACGGTTTACAAAGCACTGTCAATCATTTTTATCAGAAAGCTACACTGCTATAAGCTCAAGTGCCAGCACTAGAACCAGGCCCCTCACTACAAGTCTGGTCTTGGTTTTTCCTAAAGAATTCTATAGAGTTCCAACTATATTCCCTATAGACACATGGTGTGACAAGTGAAAACAAAGCAACCATTCCAACACAAATTTCTATCACTTATCTACATATTTCATGAGAAAATACCACTTGCCTTCTGTTTTGCTCCCATAGCTTGATGCAGAGGTACTAAATGTCTTTTCCCAAAAGACCTTGTCTTTAGCCCTGAGGATAGGCTGCCAACCCATAGGGATGAGACAGAGTAACAATGCTCAGAGTGGGGAGAAGACTGAAGGCTAAGCCATAAGGGTACCTAAATTGTGGGACAACAAAAGGAGAGCCAAAGACAGAATCTGGTGGAGATAGTGTGATGGAAAAGAAGGGAGAGCCCATTCAAATCCCAGAAAGGCAAAAATATCTCTATCACAGCACCTGAGTTCAAGTTGCCCCAGTTTAATCAGAACAGCCAACATAATGTTCTTGTGTCCATGAAGATTATCTATTTAGACCAGATGAGAGCCTGGTATAACCAACACAAATTTGACTCTGGATAATTTTCTTTGCACCATACTCTTCTTTGGATAAGGCATCATGGTACTAACCCCAGAAGCACTAAAGGATTTATGATGGTAGCTGATAGAGTACACTCTATACCTGGATGAAACTACACAAGCAAACATCTGAAAAACAGAGCAGGGGCGGATGTTTAATTTAGGAAAAAACACATCAAATACTAGAGTTTTATATCAGAAAAGGCTATTTTTTTATAATACAAGTTACATAAAATAAAGATGGACACAATTGTAAGTGATCCTCAACCAGAACATGGATTTTTTGATGCACCAAAAGAACATCAGCCTCCAAACAGAGATTCTATCTTTCTGCAACCCTAAGATTTTCGGAGGGCACCCCAAAGTCCTTGGTCCGGAAAAGGGGACTCTCTCTGCTGACCTAGCCTTACCATCAACCTCAAATGTAAAGGATGTCAAATCGTCCACATCTGGAACTCCATCAGGCTATCCTCCATCTACCATAGTCCTATCCAGTGATACTGAAGACATGGAGCCAGGCAGCAGTATCATACCTATGTTAATCAGGAGTGGAAGAGAGCACAATCTTACAGGATTTCACATGTAAAAGAATGCCTTGGCAGTGAGGGGTAGCCCAAGGCCCTTCCCATATAAAGAAACAGGCACAGGGGCTGGGACTCAGGCTCCATTTTGATCCAATGTTTATTGTCCTTTTACAACATGTCATTTTTGGTTTAGAAACTGCTTGTGATTAGTTTTCCAACATTAACTCAAAAGCATGTAAAATAAAATCAACCTACTCTCTATATAAACACCCAGCAACTGTGGCCCTTCATCCTCCTGCCCAGGTTGGGTAGGGGGAAGAAGGGAGGGCTCGAGAAGCACTGAGTGAAGTGCAGATGCTTTACTGTGGGGAGTGGTGGTAGTGCCTTGGTTCACTCACACAGGACCCCTGCACTGCCCCAAACTACAACAGAAATGATGTAGGCCCAAGGCCCAATTCCCTGTTGGTAATTCACTCTCCACCTCCCAAATGAAAATCGTTTTTATTTTATCGCTTTTGTTTTGTATTTTTTTGCAACAGAAACCCCGTCCAGAGTCTGATTGTAGCTGAACTGTTCAGACTGAGGAATGGAGCAGGCCGTGGGCGCACCCCTGGTCCCTCCTGGGCAAGCGCCCCCACCCTCAGGGAACAAGGTCCAGCCAGGCCAGCTCGAAGCATACTGGCCACCATCACTTAGCCATACAGGTCGTCATCATTGTCTTCTGTGTATACACTGCCACCTGTGCCGCCTCCACTGCCCTGACTGGGGCCAGCTCCACCCTGGTTTCCTGAAGGGAATCTGTGCACAAAAGCAGAACCAAAAAAAATTTTTAAAGGGGAGTGGTTAGGACAGGGCCTATGTAGGTTTTTACAGCTACCCCTCTAGACTCCTTAGTACTCCCACTAACTTGGTTGTGTAGCTCTCCAAGACAATTTAAGCATTACCCACTGTACCCTAGTTACCTGAAACTGCCAAAGCCCCGACTCTGCTGAAGGGTCTGAGCGAACATCTCGTATTTTCGAATGTCATTGTCACTGACAGAACGGCGGGCAAAGCGCATGGCTTCCTCAAAGTGATCTCGGCGGATCTCGGGCACTGGATCATCTTCTTCTACCTCCTGTAGGTTGGTAAACACAAACCACCAGAGGTAGTTAAGGCCCAGTCTGGATCCCTTCCCTAGCCTTCCTACCCCTTACTACTATAGTAACCCACTGGTCTTCCTGCATCTCTGGTACAACCTGAGTAAATCAGCAGGACAATCTTTCTAAAACTGAGTCACTGCCCTGTCAGTGCATTAAAAACCTGTCAGTGCATTCTGAAAAATGCAAAACTGTAGGAAGAGAAATCACATCAGTGGCTACCAGAGGCTTAGGGTGGTAAAAAAACAACTGATTGCCCAGCCAGCATGGCTCAGTGGTTGAGCACTGACCTATGATCCAGAAGATAGCAGTTCAATTTGCCGGTCA